GAAATTTGCAGAGGATGGGGTTTCAGTGTCCCACACAATTGGATCTACTATTTTACAAGGGAGGGCAAAAAATGTGTTCTTTGGGGTCTCCACACAAGACAAAAAGGGGTAAAGTCTCTTCTTCATCCGGGAGTAAAGCCATGATGAAGATATGAGTAGGGTAGGACAATATGTTTAGGTTATGGTGGCCTTCAAGATGGATAATATATCCCTTCCCAGCAAGGGAACCAGGCACTGAGGCATAACCAAAAAATGGTGTGAAAAGGAGAACTCAGATAAAGAGCAAGTGAGGGGAGGAGTTCTGTGCATGATGATGGTTTGACCTCCTACCCCAACAATAGGAGATTCGGAGGGATAGGTAGTTCCCCAAAACTCTCTAAGAACCAAAAATGTGGCCCGGTGTCTACCAAAATGTTTATGGGATGCCCATCCACTCAGAAACCACCCTGGGTTCCTGCTTGGTGATTGAATAGGTCTGGACAGAAGACCCAGGGTCCTGTCAATCCTCAGCCTCTAGGCCCAGCAAGTCACTGGCGGCGTGACTGACCTCAGCTCCCCTCCGGAAATTGGGGCAGTCCTATCCCAAGTGGCCAGGACGTTGGCATCTGGGGCATGGTCTGGGCAGTTCCCTGGGTTAGGGCAAGCCTTAGCCCCATGCCCTTTATTACCACACTTAAAGCAGGGCCCAGGGGGGGTCCTTGTTGTGGGGGTTGTTTTCTCCCCTTTTTCATAGTTTGGAAGGAGCCCTGTAACACCTGGGCCAACATCTGGCATTTTGGGCATTTTGCTCTTTCATCTCTGTTGTGGAAGACCTTGAAGGCCATACCAACACCTCAGTCTGAGGAGTCAAGGGTCCCCTCTCTAATGTTTTTTGCTTTGCCCGGATGTTGGGGTAGCTTTGTAAGAAAAAATAGGTCATAAGAAGTTGCCTCCCATCTGGGGATTCAGGGTCCAAATTAGTGTATGAAGGAGAGCCTTTGTTAGTCAGCCTAGAAAGGCCGAGGGGTTTTTATTTTTCTCCTGGATGACTTCCTGGAGTTTATCAAAGTTAATAGTCTTTTGTGCCACCGCCTTTAGGCCACCTATCAGACAGGGAATATGGTGGTCTCTGCATCCCAGGTCTTGGGGGTCACTATAATCCCAACGTGGTCTTGGTCTGGAACTTCCTGGGCCCCTAGGGGATGGAGGGCATCACTCTGATGAACCTGGTCTGCATAGGCCCTTGCCTGGTCCCAGACCCTTCTCCTTTCCTCAGGGAGGAGAGTATTGGACAGAATCATGTAGAGATTGTGAAAGGTGAGGCTGTAGGCTTGGGTAGGTATTGAAACTCTTTAATATAAGAGACAGAGTTTGCAATGTAAGATCCCAATTTTTTTCTACTTGAGAAATGTCAAGCATAGAAAAAGGAATATAAACCCTTAAAGTCTTATCCTGCCCAGCGGCCTCTCAAAGGGGGGCCACAGCATGTGAAGTTTGCGTTGGGTGATGAGATGTGGTGACTTGTGGGTTAGGTGCTGCAATAGCGTGCAAATAGGTGGTGGGTGGACTAAACTGAGGTGGAGGGACCGAGGTGAAGGAATGGAAGTGGGAGGAGGTTGTGGGGGAGTGTTGGGAGGAGGAGGAGGGGGAGGAGGAGCGTCCACAGAAGAAGAAGCCACAGATGTAGAGGATGGGGAAGTGGGAGTGGGTGAAAGTGGGGAAAGCAAGGCTGAGGGCGGGGGAGAGCAGAATGGAGGGGCTCATCAACCAGGTCAAAAGTGGAGGTGGAGAGCAGAGAAGAGGAAGAAGGGGGAGAAGGCGTGGAGGCAGAGGGTGGAGAAGAGGAGGAGGAAGGAGGTTTGTGAGCAAGGAGTAATGCTGAGGCTTGCATTGGGTGCAGATTGGGTGAGATTTAGCAAGGAAAAAGCCTTCACGTAGGGAATCTAGTTCCACTTCTTCGATCACTCACAGTAATTAAAAAGATCCTGAAGTAAATTGGGATCCAGAGACCCACATGTGGGCCAAACGTTTTGGCTGTCTAGGGGGTGTGTAGGCCAGTCCTGGGGACAGAACTTTATGAGCCTTTTCAGTTTAATATCAGGGCCAGGCTCAGGGATTTTAAATTATCTAAGAGGCACCTCAAGGGAGAATCGGCCAGGAGGGATGAGGAATTTCCCATGCTGGAAGGGCAAGATGGGAGTCAGAGTGAGAGAGAGAAAGAGAGAGAGAGAGAGAGAGAGAGAACTTGGGCTGGAAGGAGCTTCCTGGAGGCTCCGGAGCAGACAGAGGGTCAAGTGGGCATCCCCAAAATGGCTGACCGCCCCAGGGAAATAGAGGGCAGTGCCTGTTCATCACCAGGGGAGTGCGATCTGTGAGACCCAAAAAGGGCCAAGGCCATGGGCAACCCGATGTCAGGAGAGTTTTTTGATTGGAATGAAAGAGGCAGAGGGGAATTTTTTCCGGTCAGAACGGAGGTTCCAGTCTGAACACAGGTGAAATGAACTGTGGCAGCTGCACTAGCCCATCCATGGGAGCCAAGCCTGAGGGGAGATGGAGGAGTCAGGAAGGGAGAATCTATCCTACGTCCCAGGCGTTCGTCTCCCAGGGGTGTCCTAGCAGAGCGCCCGGGGTCCACCGCGACCCTGACGGGTCTGAGTGGGGTGTGTTCCCCGCAAAACACCAGGAGGGATTGCTGGACACTCAACGGCCAATTCCCTCGTCCTGGTGAGCTGGGTCAGGTGCTCATGGGAGGGGGGACTCACCAACCTGCAGGCCGGTGATGGTGGCAGGCAGGTGATCAGAGGAGTGGATTGTGACAGGAATGGTCAGGCTGGGAGTTCAGTAACGGGGTACCGCCTTGAGCAATGGGGATCCCTGTCCCAGTTTGGGTGCCAATGTAGGAACTGTGGAAAAGCTCCGAAAACTCAACAAGCCTAACAACCATAGCGGGACCACCATGGCTGATCACAGAAGAGAAGGGGGGGGGAGAGATAGAAAGAGCACAAGTGAGAGCAGAGTGTTGATATTTATGGGCTCAACGCGGGGTGAGAAGGAGCAGGGGGGAGTGGGCTGTTACTTCTTTATTGGCTGAGAGTCCACCTCTGGGCAGGACAGGGTATGAGTCTCCTAGGGGTTGGAGGTCACAGTTCGTGCCATTTCAGGGAATGGAGATGATGGTTTGCACCACTTAGGTGGTAGTTTGTGCCATTCAGTGCATCATGGAACTGAACTATTGGAAGAGCCCTCCGGGCGCCATCTTTACCAACATAGAGATCTGTATTTGACTGAAGGTAAGTTGTGTTCACCTTAAAATCAGTCATCATAATTGTTTTATGTAAATCTCCTGGTAAACAAAAAGAAGCAAAGTTATAATAGGTACACAAAATAGAAAGAGAAAGAAATCAAAGCTAACCATTACCAAAATCAACAAATCAGAGGATGGGGGTATAGCTCAGGGGTAGAGGCCTTGCCAAGTATGCACAGACCCTGGGCTCAATTACCAACACACACACACACAATTGTTTTCATCATTAAATAGGAATAGGGTTACAGAGGGACAGGGAAGAGGACAGGGAGGACAGCGATGCCCAGCTGACTGTCCTCTGCACCCTGCTGTCTGCTGCCCTCCCAGCACAGCCCCAGGCTGCTGGATGCTCCGCTGCACCCCTTGCAGAGCTGTGCTGTGGCTCTTCTCTTATCTGCAGGCAGGAAGGTCAGGGAAAGACCACAGTGCAGAGCTTCTCCTGCAACCTGGCCTCTGCCTGGCCCCTAGCCCTCCTCCTGCTCCAGGAAACATCAACCCTGGGCCCCCCTAGGGTCTGAGAGTCCTGACTGGACTTCCTCAGAACTCTCACTCACTCCCCCTCCTGGGGCACATCATGGCTGGGTTGTCTTCCCACATACATCACAAATCCTTTTCACAATCAAACAGTCCCAAAGAAGTCCTTGAAACAGAGCTTTAGGGACATGGGAGTGACAGTGTCACTGATCCCTATTACCCTGAATGTGACCAGTGGATGAACTGCCCAGATTCTGTCTCCATATGAGAAGGTTTTGACTATGGGACTTACAGACTGCCTTTGAAAGTCACCTCCCCATGTTTTCTATCTGGGCCAATGCTGAGAAGTAGGGTCGTGGCATAGACTATTTTCCAGATGACACACTTGAGGCCATGGGGCTTGGGGACTGGCTGTGACTCCAGGATCATTCCTAGACCTGGAGGTTGTGAGCTCAGACCTGCTCCTTGATTTGCTGTTGCAGGCTGTAGATGGAGTTAAACTTGCAAAAGAATGGACTGCGCATCTCTTTAAGCCAACACAAGCAGAAGGCATGAGACCATGGACTCCATCAGAGAAGGAACAACCTGGAAGAGACTTGTCCCTGCTGATCACGATACTGCCCTGGCACATATAGCATGAAGTGAGCAAAGACATCAACTGCGAGTGTTTGTCTTGTCCACTGTGACTGGAGCAGGTGTTTTGCTGTTACCTCCCCCTTGCCCTTTTTCTTTGTATAAACACGAACCCCAGGGGCTGCATGGTAGAGCCCTAGCCCACCACACCCAAAGCCCTGCCTCTCTGTACCCTGTGAATTCTCTAGTAGTAGCATGTAGCTGTGCCTTTGGGGTGGGGAAGAGTATGTGAAGGTTCTACAGAATAGAGGGAAGCCATGGAACTCAGGACGGCTTAGCTCAGGCTTGCTTGTAAGAGGGAGATTCTGTGCTGGCCACAGGCTGGCGTTGGGATCAGGGCTGCCTGGACAGAGCAGTTCACCCAGCGGGTGTGGGCAGGTGTAGTTACCTGAGACAAGCTGGCTCTGCCTGCAGGAGGGGGCTTGCCAACAGATGTCAGAAACCAATGTCCATCCAGGCTCTGGTCATTCGTACAGTTATTCTGCAATTTCTTAGAGCGAGTGAGGTTGCCTCTGTGAACTCTGGTGGGCTTCCTAACACTGGCCTGTGGCTCTGCCCTCAGAGCAGGGAAGCTCTTCCTCTTGCTGGTTCCCCTTTCGAATGTTTCCTCCCCAGCTGAAGAGGCCGGCAGGCAGCCAGGATGGGACACAGCTCACAAGATCCCCACCTCTGCTGGACCACCAGGCTCCTGGGAGTCATTAGCCTTCTCTGTGAGTAGCTGGATTTCCTGGAAGGGAGGGCGGTTGGGGTGCTGGGTCAGCTGGGACCCTTCAGTCCTGGGGGCTGTTAGGCTCTGATGCCTTTGGAAACAAAAAGTGAAAGCCGCACTATTATTATTCACCAATGCAGTGTTGGTAGAGCCCAGGATGAACGGAAAGTGCAAAATGGCCTTTTTGTGGTGAGGACCTGGGACCCTGGGCATGGGCAGCCCTGGCTGCATGAGGGACCATAGCCAGGGAGCTGAGGCCACCTGGGCTGCAGCAGCAGGGAGGGGCTGGAGCTGCCTGGGGACAGGGAAGGAGACAGACCAAGAGCCTGTTCCTGGGGCACAGGGTGAGGAGGCAGCACCCCAGCCTGGGCCCCCAGGGTCCTCAGGGCCTCTGCAGCTCTTCTGTGGAGGCCTCAACCGGAACCCTGATTTCTGAGCCGGAGGAAGCTCCTCTGGTCTGCGCTCCTTCCCCCCCACCCTCAAATGTTCCTGGCCCTGCAGACCTCAGCTGGAACCTTGCTTATCTCATCACTGTTCCTGGCAAAGCCCTGGAAAAACAGGAGGCACCATCAATTGGGGAAAGATTGAGCAAACTGTGTAGTATCTGGGGCCCCCATGCATGGGATGTCATGGAGGCTAAGGAAACAGTGCCCCAGTGTTCTGGGAAGAATGTCCAGTTTCCATGAGGGAGACGCCTGGATCCTCCTCAGCAAGATCCAGGGAACCCAGCATCATGAAGTCCTTATTGTATAAAAGGACAAGCAGCCTCTACACACCCACATTTATGGGGCTGTTGAGCATGTGGGGAAACAATAGTGGTAGCTACCACAGGCTACAGGAGGGGAAATTGTGCAGAAAATACGCAGGGAAAAAGAGAGGGTGGGAAGCTAAAAGGAAGTGAAAAATGTACTGACCTAATGATTGAGTCATGTGAGCCAAGATCATGTTACACTATGACATCATGGACTGTTGTGTTTGCTCCTATGAAGAAATAAAATAAAAACTAATGAGAAAACAAGAAGATCTAGTGAAGTGACTTTTGGTGAAGACTTTCTATCTGATTTTTTATCAATCCCAGCCACTAAGTGAACTTGCAGGGAATTACCCGGAGCTTGGTGGTTTAGGGAGCACTTGTGAAAGGAGACTTATTAACTGAACAACAAGCTGCCAGTGGTAGAAGACTGGTCCCTTTTAAATAGCTCAATTTTGGAACAGCACAATGCACACTCTTCCCATTTCTACTGCGTTGTTTAACTGTTAAGGTGCAGCTCTCTCCAGAGGCAGTGGGGGTGGAAGATTTCAAAAGGAAGGAGAAGAACAGGAGGGGAGGGCGAGGAAGAAGGGAGAAGGAAAGGGAGGACTTGACTTTCCCAATTATTGGATTTGCAGCCTGAGCCCAGACAAAGAGGGTGGTTCTCTCAAGGTCAACAGAAACAGGGAAGGTTGAAATTGGTCCCCCCACAGTCCTGACCTCTGTGCAGCTGAATGAAGCAAAGCACCTTGCAAGGAGTTGGTCAGAGGCTCTTCATGGAAGGAGCCTCACCCCTAAATTGCTCTGCATCCTTTCTGGAAGCCTGAAGATCCACAGTTGCATTTTTCTTTGGTTTCTGGATTGTCCTCTGTTCACTCACCCTTGTTTGGGGGAGAGTGATGGTGGTGAAGGAGTGATGGTGAGGGTGGTGAAGAACTTGCCCATATCATGGTTCAAATAGCAAGTCCTTTCCTGCACGTGGTTTGGAAGGGCAAGTGTGGAAGAGAAAGGGAAACTGAGCACAGCTTGCTTCCTGGAATTTCCACACTGCCGCGGGGTGATCCTGGATATGTGGTGGCTCCCCCAAACTGATAGCAACAGCATTTAATGAATGCTGCCCCCCATCTGCTGGCGGGGAGATGGAGAAGTTTCCAGGTCACTATTGGCCCAAGAGAGACACGGAAACAGTGTAAAGGGCAGCAAGGTATCAGTTTGGCAGTTTTGTGCATGAGTTGACAGGGAACTGCTCCTGGTGTGGGAAAGTGGAGATAGGGATACGACACAAGAGGAACCATGTTCTATGCCCACGGTTGCATTTTTAATTTTGTAGTATGAAGTTCACCCTCTACCTGGTAAAGCCCATGTGCTCCATGGCTCCTCTTTTCCTTGTTTAGGATGAGCATCTTCTGTAGGTCAGAGAGCTCCTGCTGCCTCCCCTCTCTGCCTCCCTTCTCTGTCTTGCTGATGTCACCCACCATTGGGCCTCAGGGGCTGATCCTCCCACAGGCTGAGGCTAACCCTCCTCTGTATTTGTGGTTCCCTCTTCTAGGAAGTGGCAGTCTGGGCAGGCTGGCTGTCCAACCCTGGGCGAGCCAGAAGTCTCAGCTGTGCTCAGCCACTCCAAGGGGACACTGTCCCTGCAGGGGGGACAGTTGGAGGATGAGACTCCAGCAGCTGCTCAGGCCCTGGAGGGACCAGGTAACAGCTCAGGGAGGGGCAGAGTTCCTAGTGGGCAGCATCCTGGGCTCCAGGCCTTGCTGTGCCCTGTGTCGCCAGGACAAGTCCACTCCCCTGGGGACCCCCTGCTCTCTAACAGGAGGGGCTTGACAGCTCACCTCTGAAGCCCCTCCAGGGTGACCCAGGGCTTCCACTCACACAGGGCTTTCTGTGGTCACTGCAAGGCCTCTGCTCTGTCTTTCTCGTCCTGACCTGTCCTATCCTGTCACCTGACAGGGAGTCACAGCTGGGGAGCCTGTTTAGGACTCCTTAAGAGAGGACACCCTGAGCTGTCCCTGTGGTCATTTCTTCAGCCCCCAAGGGAGGGAAGAAATCCTGCTCCTCAGCTCCTCCACCTGACCTGGTCTTCTCTGCCTCTGCTCCTGAGAGGGACCTCAGGGCTGGTGTCCTCAGATCTCCTGCCCAAGGACTCTCCCTCCTCACACCCTTGCAGATGTGCCCTGCAAACCTTGCCCAGGAGGCCATGTTGCAGCTGTGCCCTTTAGACCAGCTGATGAAAGCCTCTGCCAGACCTTGAGGTTCCTGTTCAGCACAAAACACTAGCTTCCCTGAAGGACCCTCCTACAATGCTGGCAGGGGGACACAGACGCTGTGGTGACCACAATGACCTCATCAAATCCCTGAGGATGGTCTGAAATACAGGCTGTCAGAGCACCCAATTGCGCTGTTTCCCCATGGGATAGCAGGCTGTTTCTCTGGGTACTGCATTAAACAGAGCACTTAAATGTACTGACCACCACTGTACTGACACCCAGCAAGTGCCTGCTGTCCATGCACAGAGAAACCAACACGGCACCAGGTTTTGCAAGAAGAAAGAACTTCACAGTCGCTCCCCTGAAAAGGAGAGAGGAGGCACGCTCACTTCTGTCTCCCCAGGGAGCAGGAAGGGACTTAAGGGAGGGATGAGAAACAGAAGTCCAGCTGGCTGGAATCTCAAGTCTTGGTGGCATGGTCCACACCAGGTGCCCTGGGCCTGGTGGAACCTCTGGGTACATTGTAACTGCACTGGTCTCTCTGACCCCATGCTCCCTCCTGCAGCTGTGGCTGCACCCTGGCTTCTAACCCAGGTCCACAAGTCCCTGTTCTGGTTCCTCGGCTTCTTGTCCTTGGAGGCTTTTGGTTCCTCTCAGCTCTCTAAGTCTCAAGTCCTGAAAAAGCAACTTGCAAACAGTTTTTAGAAACAAGGAAGTTGTGGTGTATGGCCCATTTTCACACCCAGAATTACATATTTAAATGTGTTAAACTCTGATTAGGCTGGATGACCACAGTGCTAAAGGATACTTCTATTTTGCTCATTAATTAAAAAGGGGACCATAGCATGTCACAACCCCCTTAAAAGAAGAATGAAGGGCACCTCAGGCCAGTGGGAAGGTTAAGAGGCATTTATGAATAGATACCCAGGCTCACAGGGCTGGAGTGTCTCTGGGCACACGTCATTTCCAGTGCTTACCTTGGGAATGGGCACACTTTGCTTTCACTTGAATACTCCACAAGTTGGGTTCTTGTTTTCAGTGTAATATGTAATACTTTTGTATTAAAGAACAGCTCAAGATGTGGGTAGATGGGCAACCAGAGTTAAGAATATAAAATTTAAAATCTTAGTTCAAGGTATGGGTAATGAGTCCTTCCCTCCACCTTCCCACCCCCACTCCTGGCTGCACAGGGGTCCGTCCTGTGGTGCTTGGTAATGGTGCCTGCATCACAGTGAATTTCCTTTTAAACTCAGCTTTTATAAACAGGAAAGCCCTGGCTGGACCTTGACACCTACAGGCACCAAGGAGATTGAAGCCACAGGATGTGTGACTCCTGCATCCCATCCCTGTACTCAGGAGGAGACCCCCGAGAGGGGCAGCTGGAGGGGAGGAAGGAAACCAGCCTGGAACTGGGAATGTATGGTTCTGACCCGGGGGTGCTGGGCCAGTAATGCCCATCAAGATAATGACAGCAGCAGCGTGTGGGAGACCAACCTCACACGTGACTGAGTCACACTCCCCAGCTGGGTGCTGAGGCTCTTAGTCACAGAAATGTGGCACAGCTTTCCCCACCCTTCTTGAGTTTGAGGGTCAGTGTCTCCTGCATGGTCTGTCTTGCTACAGCCCCATGGGTGGAGCTATGCTCACCTGTTCCTTTGTAATATAATCCCTTGCCCTGTTTAGGGTAGAATCTACCATGGAAATGCCTTGTGTGTCTTCCCTTCTCTTACTGTGCCCTTGGATGTGGCCTACCCAGGTGTCAGTCAACCTGCTGACAGTGGACATCATGAGATAGACTCAGCCCCCTGAAACCTGACCCCTTGCCTCATTTAAAGAGCTTCTCCTCAATAAAAGGGGTCAGCGTGTGCTCTTGCTCTATCTCTTCTTGTGGACCTTTAAGGTCAGAGGAGCCATCACAGTGACCCCAATAAAAAAGGTATTTGTGTCTCTTGTGGGGTTATTTTGTGTACTCAATTAGCCCAATTCAACTGGAGTAAACCCTGAGCCTTTTAGTCGCGAGAACAGAAACCAACTGCAGCAAATGGGAACAGCACAGTTATTGAATACTGTGCCGAAAGCTTTTCTGCTTAAATTCAAAGGAGAATTCAATGAAGTAAGCACCATCTCTTCCATTTCATAGATGAGAAAGCTGAAGCCAGAGAGGTTCAGTAACTATTCAAGCATACACAGCCAGAAGATGGGGGACCTAGAGTAACTCAGATTAGGTCCAACCTTGTAACCACTCTTTATATCATCAAGGTGTGGTAACTAGCTGAAACAAACTAAATTTTTGGTTGATCAAAACCTAAACACAAATGTTGAAACCACAAAAAGAACTTGAAGAAAACTAGAAAATATGAGAAACATACTTTTGAAGGGAAGGCTATCCTTTTAAGCAAGATATGAAACCAATGAATACTAAAAAAAATCTTTTGATATCTTTGAATTCATGAAGTGACATTTTGGCTCCTGGGCAAAATAAACTGTAATAGATTTAATGAAATTTATCACAATTCCAATGATTTTTCACAGAAATAGAAAAAATTCTAAAATTTGTTTGAAAGCATGAAGGACCCCAAATAACAAATGAAAAAGAACAAAACTGGGTGTCTCACTCCCTGATTTCAAAATACAATGTTATTGTGATTAAAACAGGAGGGTACTGGCACAAAACAGACACATTGACCAATGGAAAATGAAGAAATTCCATAAATAAACCCAGTGTTTACAGTCAGTTGATGTGATGTTTGACAAATG